AAATATGAGGCCTGCACATAACAAAAGAGAGAGTAGAAGAAAAGAAGAAAGGAATGAAAGCAAGCAGGTCTAAACTCAGCACTGGGAATCTTGGCTCCACTCACCACAAAACTTAGAGACAGGTTTAATTCTTTTCATTTTCCTCATAAGAAAGTGAGCACATGCTCGCTCTCTCATACACACACTGTCTCACACTTATCTTCTCCTAATGAACTCAGAGCTTTCTACCTTAAATCAGGCATCCTTGCGCTAAGCTTCTTTAAACTGTAGTTGGATAATCCTCCAGATTCTGGAGGGCCCCTTTGCCAGAGGAATTCCTAGGTATGTAGCCCCTACTATATGACATCGAGTCACCAAAAGAAAAAAATTATTGATTGGGACAATAATTTAAAAAAAATCTGGAGGCAGCTGGGGATGTGAAAATGCATTGTCAAGTGGATTATGATTTCAGAACTCTTCATTATGTAATCATGAACATACTACATCTGTTCATCTGAGATAAATTCATATGAAAATCCTCTGAAATTAAAGAAAAAAAAAAGCTTTTAATTGCCATGCCATGAAAATAAACAGCTTTTTCTGTTTAGCATAAAGGTCTGTTTTTCATGCCATTCTATACAGCAAAAGACTAGATGAATCCTGAACTGAAGCTACCTATTTTAGTTCGCAAAAAATTTACAGTCAGTTAGACCATACATGACACATATGAAAACCAACCTTCCCATAAGTCATTGCAAGGCAATTTGCCAACACGCTCCATCACCAGCATGACACTGGGGCAGTAGCTGGGGCTCATGTCCACGCAAGCCTGTTGCCCATGAAAGCTGTGGCAGCCCACCAAACTGATACCAGAACGATGCTCCCCCCTGAATGATGCCCCCTGCCATCCTGGGCTGCCACAGCCACTGGCAGCAGTGCTGTTGCCTGCTGACATAGACAAGACCAGGGAGGGACTGAGAAGCTATCATTTCCTCAAGTTGCTTTCCATGTTGTTAGGTTTTATTGAGGTTTAAGACCAGATGCAATACTTCCAGCATCTGGATTTTTGTTAGGCATGTCCACAGGAAAGCGACACATTTTCACATTACCTGTGCAAGCTGTGTAGTTAAAAGATCTGACATACTGAGTTTACAAATTTTTGCTATTCAGTTACATTTTAATATTTTGAGTCAAATAGCCATGTCCTTAAGCAAAGGAACTTGCAAAGACATTTTAATTCTCTTTTTTTCTTGTCTCTTTTTCTTAAAAGGGAGTAGTGGCACACTACTGTTCTATTCAACTGGATTTTCTCTTCTGCTTTTTAACATTTTTAAGCAATTAGTCTTGGAGACAGAACATGAAAATGAACCAAACAGTAGATTGTCATTTAACAAACAACATCTTCATGGCTCACAAAAAGTTTTTTCCCCAGGTTTTTAGTTACATAAATAAAGTGCTACATAATTCCAAGTCACACAACAATAACAAAATGCCTTGGGATGATAACATCAGAGTGTTCCATTGTTTGTCAGCTATTACTCCAGAGTATAAAATCAATTTGAGATTTCCTGTCTTTCCTATGATTAGAATTGCCTCTCGTATTTCCACAAACATACTCATTTTACCTCATGTAAGAGACCAAACAAAGCAAAAAGACTAAATAAGCTTTAAGAAATCATCATTTAAAGAAATTCAGTCTTTGAATCAACAGTGCGAATTTTCACTGCAATGGGTATTTCGATGCATTAGAAACAACTAAGTAGCCATAGACAGACCATCTCCAGCTTGCTAAAGTTTAACAGTCACAGTAAAGTAGATGCAATTCATCTATCACACCACAGATGGATTGAACAAAAAAAGCCAGTCCAAACAGCACGTAAAATGCATGAGTTCTACCTGATTTAAAATATTTTCAACCCCAGTGCTCGCTGATTAAAAGAAGCAATAAAAATAACTACTGGGTGTTTCTATTTATCTTAGAAGCCATCATGTGGATGTCTACTTATGGAATAGTTTCACAAATAATTGAAGCCAACTTAAGCTGCGCTTATTGACAGAAAAAAAAAAAAAAGGAAAAAAAAATAAATAAGTAATTCCACCCTCTCCACCTGCTCTCCACTTTGTGCTACCACTTTGTGCCTCCTCAAGTCTTTCTCAAATGGACACATAATCACCCAGAGCAATAAACTAATGCACCTGGAAATGCACTCTCTTTTTAAGAAGCATTCTGTCTTACCACTTGACCAAAGCTGCACAAACACAAGAGGGGCTGTGGCTCTGGGCTGGAGATGGGACCAGCCCTTTCAAAGGAAGCCTGGGCTGGGTGTGACCTCAGCTGCCTGCAAAACCACCATGGAGTTGATGAAATGTTCCTTTGATGGAATAAACTGGACCTGCAGATGGAATACACAGGATATATCTTTGGCACTGTTTTGGTTTGGATGAGAAACATGTTTGCTCACTGCAATTTGGGTTTGTATGAAGGAACGTGTGTTGGTGTAACTGAATTAGAAAATGCTGTTCATGGGAGCCCAGTCCAGCAGCCGAAAAGTGTCAACTGTTCTAGTCTACAAAATCGACTCCTTTTGGAACACACTACTTCCTAATATAGACATAGCCATGTCATTACCTTCTCTCAGCTCCACTTGGTGGGTAACTTCAGCATCTGCTACTGTCTGCACTGAAAGTACCAGAGCTGCGTCCTTAGTAATGGCAAGACAAAGGGTTGACAACAGGGAGATAAAAAACATGTAAATTTGTTTGTACTCTGCATGAAGTCTTCCTGCCGAATGTAAGAAATACTGCTTTTATTCTGAAATATTATTCAACTTCTCAATTGCTGCATTATCATTTGAAGCATAAAGGAATTAATTCTGACCTGAATTGTATCAGAAGCCACTGAATTTAGTGTCAAATATGCGATTGTTTCTCTAGTATTTGTAGGGTTATAGTCCTTAGCTTGGGAAGAGGTGGGGTCAAAGACAAGACAGACTGAGAGCACTCCACACCAGCAGCTTCCAGACAGAGCAATGCCAGTATGAGAAAGAACCCTCCTCCCTGCTAAAATCAAAAGGATAATTACATTTTTGCTGTTTGGGAAAGAAGGGATATGGAGGAAGGAAAAGGAATATGTTGGATTGAGTCTGACAGGGCTGACTTCCAAATTGGAAAGCCATGACCACAGAACATAATCTCTTTTTCTTCCACATCTTGTGTCCTGTACCAGTCCTAGCCAGGTAAAGTCCAAACTTTGTAACCTCTTCCAAACAGGCTGCTTTAATTTTTACATTTAGTTATTATATTTATTTCAGAAAGTTACTTTACATTACAGACCAAATTACACATCAAAAGTGTGGTGTTGCCAAGTCAAAACAGAAGCTTTTTAAAAATTAAACATTCCCGCTGACTTCAGACAAGTTTGTTCTCCTTCCAAAATGCCAGCTGGTAGGAGATTTCAAAATTTCAACTTTCGTTCCAGTTTAAGGTGAAAAAAAATAATGAGGTAATGTCTTGATTGACAGAATTTACCTATTAGATCTACACCTACTATACCTCCTCAAAGTCATCATATGGTCATCTGAGACTGGCAAAGAAGTGTAGTGACTCTGAGTGTGGTCTGTGTGGCTACATGCTTTTAAAAGAATTTCAAGCCTTTGTGATAGCTTGCTTCCCCTTTCACACCTGCTCATGCTACCCCTGGGACCTCTTCAAAAACAAGCAATCGAAAGAACCAAACCAAAACCCATTTCCTTATAACAAATACATCAAATTGATCAGGAAAGCAGGACTACTTTGAATACTACTGGTCAGGCTAAACTACACGAAAAAGCAATAGAAAAACAGAATCACAGAATCATCCTGGTTGGAAAAGATCTTGAAGATCATCAAGTCCAACCATAACCTAAATGCACCAATCATAACTTAATCTACCCATTCAGTGCTTAAATCATGTCCCTAAGCACCATATCTATATTGCTTTTAAACACTTCCAGGTATGGTGACTCCACCACCTCCCTGGGCAACCTGTTTGAGCGTCCAACCACTGTTTCAGTAAATAAATTCTTTCTAATATCTAATTCTTTCTAATATCTAATATGTATTTCTAATGTCTAAAACACAGGAAACTAAGCCAGCAGACATGAGTTACTAGCTTGCAAAGAAACATTGGTGGTAAAAGCCACACCAGTGCACAAAACTGGACCTGGAAGGGCAATACTGCAAGGAAAAAGCATGGGACCTGAATCTCAGACAGGGAAGACAGAGCAATGGTCTGAGGGTAAGTGAAGGACAGACAAGGAAGGCCTTTCTGGCTGTGGTGGGATGGTTGGTGAATCTGTGTGGAAGCCAGAACTATAGATAGGATGAGAGCTGGAGACAAATATGACAACGGGGAAATCAAAATACCAAAGGAAGTTTTTAGAGTTATTTGGCTTTAAACAGATTATTTTCCCATATGATGATAACAAAAAATAAATTTCAGACACTGGTTTGTTGTTTTTTTTTAATTGCTGCTTTTCAATGAAAGACACATGGAAGCTAAGTAATTTCCTAAATTAACAAGAAGACTTTAAAACTTCTCATTAAAAATATCTGTGATTATATGGCTTATCTTTTCAGCTGAATTCACAAGGGTTTTCCCTGGGTGAGCTCCATAGTTCCTCAAGGTACAAGCAGAAATTAAGAGATTACACCATTATAAAACTAGCTTCATGGCACCAGACAGTTTAAGTCTACTTCAACTGACCTTACCCAATTACTTAATTTTATGACTCACTCTAAGAAAGGTTAAGACATTATGGTTTTAGAAAGCTGTATCAAATAATATCCTTGTCAGAGATTACTTTCTCATATAATAGCTTCATTAAAATCAGGTAAATAGATGAAGGGTCATCATGTAAAGAAGCTCACTGAAATTGAAATTCACATTTCAAGGCAACAGCACTCCTGCCTGACCTATGTCTATGCTCTAGTGTCTCCCCTTTGGGGAGCAGGAAATACTTGCCTCTCTTTGACTTGCATAAATGACAGGAAACTCGGGTGAGGAAATCCTCTACAATCTTGCTATTTTTAATGAGGACTGGGAAGAAGGAGGAAAGGCAGCTTGGTGTGCTCTTTTTAGGCCAGTCAACAAACATCCATTGTTGTGCTTCAACATGTATTTTCAGCTGTAAAACTGTGGGTTATGTGTGGGTGGGAACATGCTCTGTGGTTCAGCAGCAGTGTTCATCATATACATGCTCAGGCTACACCAGGGGAAATGTATCACAGAATCTCTGCTCAGGAAACATGGCCTTGTGTCTCATCCCTTTCAATTATCCCCATGTCCTTAATGTGATTTTGGGTAGATTATCTGTGGGCATGGGGTGTCTGAAGTACACTATGCCTAGACTGAAGGGACAGTGAAGCCACATGAATGGCCCAAAAGGGAAAATTGTTTTATCAGGTTACAATGCTCCCAGCTCTTCTCTCTCAAGGCTAAGCTCATATCTCTTCAACAGAGACTGTGTTCTGTAAATATCATGGCTTCAGTTGCCCTGGCTGTTGTCAGCAGAGCTCATAAAACCAGCTAAGCTAGCAGGCTGAGCTCAGCTTCGTCAAGCTACTGCCTGCTAGAGCCTTCTCCTATAATATGTCTCTTTCTTTTCTCAGGCCTGCCCCAACAACCAGCCCCAAGACACCCTCCCTGTGGGGAGTACTGGGTGAGGATCTCCAGTCCCCAGACCTCTGGGGCTGCCTCGTCAGAGGGTGCTGGGGAGGCTTGGCACTGGTGTATGGAGCAGTGGCAGCAGCTCAGTGGTCACAGATGGAGCTGGGACCACTTCTGAGTGAGGAACTGGAGAAAGTTCAGGTCTTGACAGAGCAACTCTGTTGCTGAGCAGAGGGTCTTGCAAGAGCACGCACCGCCAGGCAGATTTATATGTATACAGAGATAATGATTAATTTTTAACCTCTCTGAGGAATCAGTCTGAAAACTTGTGAATGAGCATGACTGTCACTCCAGAACTAACAAGCTCCTTTAAATTTTGTGATTCTCCAGAATATTTATTTTAATGATGCTCAAAGCCCTCAAAAGTAAAGAACTGAAAAATACTGAGATTTTATGTCTGAGTACCAAAAGCAGCCTGATATGAATCAATAAATGCCAAGCTTTGCCCTGCTTGAGCTGTGGTGTACTGCAACTATTTCTTTCAAAAATGAGTAAAAGGTGCACTCACACAAACAACTCAGCTGAAGGATTTAATTCTACCTCTTGATTAAAGAAAAAAAAACAAAACAGGCATATCACACTAAGCAGAGGTTCCTTCACTTGTTCTGCACTTAGAGCAGTGAATTGAAAGCAATAAATACCATCATTTTCAATTTCTACTGTTGTTACCCCAGTCAAAACATCATCTGCCTTCGTTGATAACAGTGCTACCAGGGAAGTGCACACTGCTTCTCCACCCTGCTGCAAGGTTGTGTTCAGCTACTAATTGCTTGTCCAGAAGTATAGTACACATTTTTTTCCCTTAGATATATGAATTTGCACTTGACTTTTTAGGATTCACTCTCTTTGAATGGGTCCAATTTCTCCTGGAATCCAGATAGAACTGTGCAATGCCCACTGCCATCATGATTCATCACTTCATCTGTGTATTTGGCATCTACAAATACGGTCACTTGGTGGCTTTATATTTGTTTCCAGATTATTAATTAAAATATTACACAGAATCACACAGAATCATCAAGACTGGAAAAGACCTTCAAGATCATGAAGTCCAACAGTCAGCCCTACAACCCCTAACCACTACACCATCTCCCAAAACACCACATTCACTCATTTTTTTAACACCTCCAGAGACAGTGCCTCCACCGCCTCCCTAGGCAGCCTGTTCCAATGTTTCACCACTCTTTCTGTGAATAATTTTTCCTAATATCCAATCTGAACCTCCCCTGGCACAACTTGACCCCAATTTCTCTTGTCCTATCACTGGTCACTAGGGAGAAGAAGCCAACACCCACCTCACCACAACCTCCTCTCAGCTAGTTGTAGAGAGCAATGAGGTCTCCCCTCAGCCTCCTCTTCTCCCGGATGAGAAGGTATGATACATACCTATGGGCAGGCATGTATGTTTTTGATGCTACTTTGTAAGATCTGTGATACAGCTTTTCTTATCTTTTTCACATTATATACTGTTAAGTTAGTTTAATTTGAAGGCCTGTAGAAGTGTATAACATCAATACACTTACAAAACCCAATTACATCTGTAAGTTTCATCAGAGTACAACCTGAGTTCAGCTTGCCAAGTCCTATTTCTAAAATCATGTTAGTGAACATCAATATATATTTACTGACTGAACTTCATCTTTCACATTTTATAACTGATTAGGTCAACCTTGTTGTTTGAGTTCAGCATTGGAGGACTTCTATTGTATGCTCAGAATTGCTAACAATAATTAACAGCAAATCAGAAAACTCCTCATCCAACTCTTCTAGGATTTAGAACATTTCTTCCTAATGTAATTTACAGATAGGTGAGGTGAACCAGCAGCACAGGGTGCGGGTGCACAGGTAAAGCAGGGCAGGTTTTGCCAAAAAAATCAGTTGCGGGGAAAAAAAAAAAATCAATGCATAAACCAGCTGTTCTTGAGTATGCTCCTGACTCAGATTCCAAGTGGCAACTTCTAATAGTTGTCTCAATCGCAAATTTAATGTGAGCCATAACTGTAGTGTCGCCCCGAATCTGTATCTCCTCCACCACGTGCGAGCACATAGCACAGCGATCTTGCCTAGGATCAGCACAGAGTGATGGGTACAGGTGTAAATTGCAAGAGCAAATGTGAACCATCTGTTAGTGATTCCTTTTACACACGTGGCCCCTGGCACAGGCATCCTTCTGGTGATACCGGCAGTTGGAAGCATGACTTCAGCCAGTGACTAGGAATAAATTGTTTTTGGGGGGAGAGGGGAAGAAAAAAGAATAAAAGGCTTTCTAGCAAGTTTCAGAGCCCCTTCTTCGTTTCCAGGACCACTTGTTGCCTCAGAAAAATTATAGGCAACTTAGCAGAGTGCCATCCCAACAGAAAGCCAGCTAAGAAGCTGTGCCTTTTCTGTTATTTGCCTGGTGAGGCTTCTTTTGATCATTTATTCCAGATCAAGGAAAATTATGTGCTCCTGACCTGAGACATACACACACACACACACACACATATATATATACACACACACATATATATGTCAAAAAATTCAACTGTTTACAGCACCCTCACTGTCTTCAAGAGCTACTGTATTGGCTTTTGTTGAATTTGAGAAGTGTTACACAGCCTCTAACTAGAGTGCTGGGACAATTGTTTGTAGGATAAACAGAAGGGAAATTAGGGCTTTACAAGTGTTTGTGGTCAGTATCCTGACCTGCTTAGGTTTTATTTCATCTACTTGCAGTGGTTTAAGTTTTGCTTGCTTATTTCTTTTACATGTTTAGATCCAGGCTGGGCAAAAAAATCAGAGTGATAAATTTGGTGGAGAGGTGTAGTTATTCTTCACCAATCTTTGCATCTTCTATATTAACCTTTTTTCCTGCTGCTAACAGTTTTATGGGGGGGTTGAACAAACTGGCAAAGAATAATCTGATTTTATATTTTGTGGCATTAAAAGGGGAGAATTCTCAGACAGTGTGTTTGAACCTTGTACAGGGTTATTTATAGAAGACTCTTCTGTTTCTCAGGGAAACAAAGAACCTTTTCAACCCTATCTAAAGTAAGGGAATAACCTAAGCTAAAACCTACCAGAGGGCAAACTGTGTGTAACAAATAAGAGTTTATCCTTGGACAGGGAGCATGTTGGGTCTTGGCTGTACTCTATTTGCACTTTGTGCAGTAATTTATACTGCTGTAAAGTAACTGCAGAATACCACCTTACATCTGACTTAGGCTTTGATAGCATTTTACATGGCTCTGAGGAGCTATATATGAAGAAGGCTTCTAAAGAAGAGATTACATCTGAAATCATCCAATAGATCGATTGGCAGGCTATTAAGTATATTAGGAGTGCTGTTGCAGAGTGCACTGGTGAGATTGGCAAGTTGTTTTACAGTGGCTTAAGAAGGTTTTGCCTAGCTTCCAGCTCCACTCCTCTGCTGGGGTTGCTATCTACATAGCAGAGCTTGTGGGGATGATGTGGACTTAGCAGCTCTGGTGCAAAGGTTAGCATTTCAGCAACTGGGAAATCAGGTGGATTTGCACTAAAACACCAAACTGAGTACAAGTGTCTGAGAGATACAAGCACATGAATCCTTCCACTGGGCTGTTGGAAGTGGAGACAGAAGGAAAGGTGAGTAACCTTCAGCAGAAGGGCAGCACCGGAGGGTGTGAGTAAAAACATCCTAAATTGGCACAGTGTGACCACCAGTACTAGCTGGTTTGACCCAAGTGATTTAAGGTTTCTTAAAGAAGACAGATGCCTGTCTTCTAGAAGCAACAGCATTTAAATCTTCAGGCAGAACTGGCAGAGCAGATGTTGTTTGTGCTCCTTACCTGTTTCATTGCGAAGCCAGCAGTTAATCTAAGTGAAATGTTGCATTTGTGCAGCTGGGGTTTCAGACATGTTTGCTCCTGGCACTTCTGCTGCAGGTCTGTGCTACTTAGCAGAGGGTGTATTATGTAACATTGTCCAGAAGCAACACTACAGAAATGAAATATTCTTTACTGTGATGGCAGGTTTTGAAATGATGGACTGCATGCAACGTTTGCCTGGCCCGTGGGGGGCAGGTTCCTCACTTCTGCTCTGAAATGAGTTCTCATAGTCACCTACATTTCAGTGCTACCAGGAAGCTCAGCTTCTCAGTTTTCAGTGCTCCCCTTAGTGCATGTAGGGCTGCAAGAACAATACTCACAATGTTGTTAATAATATATTGCAAGAAGAACAAATACCCTGCAATGTTAGGCTGGGGATGCGTTTGGTGCAAAAAAAATTGATTCTTTTTTATATACTTTGCCTTACTTGAAGCATGTTTTGGGGGCATTATCACATTTGTTTTTGTTTCTTTATATATCTAGATTCTGTCATCTCTGTATTTCTGCAAGTTTAAAGAATAACGCATGGATGTGCCCCTACTGCCGTGCTTATCTTCCTTCTGAAGGAATTCCAGCCACTGATATTGCCAAGAAGATGGAGAGCACGTACCAAAATTGCACAGAATGTGAAACACAGGTTTGCAGCCTCAAACACTAACTACTAAATAATTCCAGAGATGTCTCCATGCATGAGAACTGACACTGTTAACATCCCTTTTTAAGGGCATGTCTAAACAAAGAAACTCCACCAGCATGACAATGAAAGAATAAATCGTGATTTATAAAGTTCCATATCTAAAAGAGCTCTAAAACACTCTGCCAGTGCCATTGAAAATACTAAGTGCAAGCCTAAACCTATGGGAGCTGAATCTGGAGGAGGGAGTTGAGTGGCACCCTCAGTAAGTTTGCAGATGACACCAAGTTGAGTGGAAGTGTTGATCTGCTTGAGGGTAGACAGGCCCGGTGAAGGTCCTTCTGCTGAGGGACTTGGACAGGCTGGATTGATGGGCCAATTGTACAACATCAACAAGGCCAAGTGCCAGGTCTGGCACTAGGGTCACAACAACCCTGTGCACTGCACCGGGCTGGGGGAAGAGTAGCTGAAAAACTGCCCAGAGGAAAAGGACCTGGGGGTGTTAATGAACAGCCAGCATTGTGCCCAGGTGGCAAAGATGGCCAATGACATCCTGACCTGCATCAGAAATAGTTTGGGCAAGCAGGAGCAAGGAACTGAATCGTGCCCCTCTACTCAGCTCTGGTGAGGCCACACGTCAAATACTGTGTTCGCTTTCAGGCCACTATATGAAAGACACTGAGGTGCTGGAGTGAGTCCAGAGAAGGGCAACAAAGCTGGTGAAGAGTCTAAAGAATAAATCTGATGAGGAGCAGCTGAGGAAACTGGAGTGCTGTGTAGCCTGGAGAAAAGGAGGCTGAGCTTATCACTCTCTACAGCTACCTGAAAGGAGGTTGTATTGAGGTTGGGGGTTGGTTTCTTCTCTCTAGTAACAACTGATAGGACAAGAGGAAATGGGCTCAAGTTGCTCCAGGGGAGGTTTAGATTAGATAGAGGAAACTTCTTCACTGAAAGGGTTTATCAAATACTTGAACAGGCTTCCCAAGGAGTTGGTTGAATGAACATTCCTAGAGGTGACATGTAGGTGTGGTGCTTATGGACATAGTTTAGTGGTGCACTGAGATTAGAATTAGATTAATGAGTGGACGATCTTAAAGGTCTTTTCCAACCTAACCATTCTGATTCTTGACTCCTTATAAAAATCCTGGCTACGATTGCATCTATTACAGTGCAGGACAAAGATACAAAATGTTGTGGATTGTTTTTTTAAACATCTCCCCTCCCCCCCACATTTGGTAAAGCTACCTACACTGACCCTTTTTCCTTAAATCTAAATAAAGCCTTTGAAACATCACTTACTACTCACATGCAAACAAAGTTTTAAATGCTGCTGTTTGAACTCATGTTTCATTAAAACAAGGTGCAGAGCAAAGCTCTTAACAGTACCTTATGATGGTGAACAGGGCATATATCAATAAGAAAAAGAGTTAACCAAGACTGAATTAATATATGTTAACTTCAAAGTTCATATAAAACGAAGTATTTTCTCCCATATCTGCACGTATTTACTCTGTGCCTCTTTCAATATAAAGAACACATAATTCCTGCTCTCCCATTGTATTTTTATATCTGTGTTGTTTTGTGGGAGGAGATTGTACAGCTTAAATGTAACTTCCTCCTCTGGATTCACATCTGGCTTTTATAATTTCTGCTGTCTTGCCAACTGCAAAATAATACCCTTAAATCTTTCTTGTTTGGGAATAGTAGTGTGAAAATACCATGAAATATAAACCAGCAAATACATGTGTGAAGAAAGGCTGCTATTTGCAGGGTTGTGAGAAGTTAGAGAGGACATTAAAAAAGCAACAAAACCATCTATTTATTGTTAAAACAATTGATTCTTTAGCTTTTCTTTCCATGGATTTTTATATCAGGGAAAAATTTGCTTAAAACTAACAATGAGATATATGAACTGCAACACCTTGTTATTAACAGTAGCTAAATATTGCATTTAATTTCAATATTTTTAAAAATTGAGCTTTGCAGAAGGAGCCCAGTTGTAACAGGTAGGTTAACAAGTGCTGAGCTATATGTGGCTTAGCTGGGTTTCTCAGTTAAGGACTCCCTTTGCTGTTCAGTGGCAGGACGCAAGAAGTGACCTGAGTATGGGTATCTGCAGGGGTTTTTGATCTTTCTTATTGCTGCAGAAAGGACCGGATGTATTTCTTGCATAAAGCTATCAGTGAGGCCACTAAGAGATGTTGAAAAGGAGAGTGCATTTAGTGCATTATTGTGTCAATACACCTTTGTGTATTGTTTCTGATATTTGGCAGACTACCCTTGGCAAATGCTCCTGTGGTCTTAGTCACACCAGTGCATGGATTGCTGTGTTAGTATAAAAATAATTTCATTTGCTGTATCTGCTCAGGGAGTGGAAATCATAATGAAGTGGCTGAAGGCATGGGCACGTTTCATTTTGCTGCATCTGCAGTCTGGATAATAATTTGAAGTGGAGCCGTAGCATTGACATCTGGGACAGGGTTATTTTCAGTTTCTTCACCAAAGACTCACTGGAACTGGTCATCAGTGTTTAAAGGTTAAGAATGTAGAATAACCTGTAAGAAACATTAATGTCTGTGTACTGTTTCTGTGCAAATAATATTTTAATATCTCAACATAGTGACTTCTTATAATTTCCTATTTCACTTTTGCAAAAAGTGAACTGAGAGGGTCCCCCTCCCCAGACTAGAAATGTTTCCTTATTGCCTCCCTAATTTAATTTAAAAATATTAAGGGCAAATAAAAGGAACAAATAACATTACCACAAACTAGTAACTTTTTCAGTCTAATTAACTTTACTGTCATAAGACAAATGTTATTATTATAAAATGTATTACAGCAATACAGAACCAGTAACATAATGCTTGAGAAACTGAGCCAGTAGGAGAAGGAGATGCGTATTCTTCCCTAGGTATGGCTACAGTGTTGTAATAAGGCTTTGAACTGGGAAAATATTCAGAATAATACATTGGCACGAATGTGTCATGGTATAAAACATAACAAGCTGCTTCTTCTCATTGCTTAGGTATGCCTGAGTGAAATGAGAGCTCATTTAAGAACTTGTGAAAAATATATAGAAAAATATGGACCTCTACAGGAGCTTGGAGCTGCTGTAACAAGGTAGATCTTAGTGATGATGACATTGCAAAAGCACTTTCGAGCTCATTTTCCCAACACAGTAAAGTCAACCTGGTAAAAGGATTCTCTAGTTTTTTTTAATTTTCTTTTCAATTGAAACTTGCTTCTGTTCAATAGACTTAAGCATGAATCCTTTACCTGTATTTAAAAATTATAATACTCAAGTAGTATTTAAAATTGACACCTTTTTTGGTGTATGACTACAAAATAGTACATTTTACTTGCAGTTAGTATGATTTTGATAGAATTTAGCTCCATGTCACCTATTCTGTAGCAACAACAATGTTTTTACAAGTTAGCAGTTTTTAATATTTTTCTTGGGGAAGAATTAATGTTTGCTTTCAAATAAAGCTCCTTGAAAGTGTTGGTTATTTCCAGAATGAGTGAAGATTAATAATAATTACATTTAATTTGCTCTCATCTGTTACTTTGTTCTTTGGAAGTAGCTTTGAATTAAGAAGACTAACAGCTTTTCTTATTTACATATATAGTATATAAAGAGAATATATATATTTATAGAATATATGTGTGTCATATGTCAAAAGTTCAAATTATTTGTCCCTTTCATTATTTTTCAGGGCAGGATCTATTAGAGCAATCAATTAGGCATGTAGCAATTCTAGAATGGCAAGTCTGCAAGTTCAATGGCCTTTAGTTTTATCCATGAACAAATAGGATTTTCATATAATTATTAAACTGCTTTTTTGATACATGTAATTGAAGCCCCTATACTCACTGCTACTGGTATTCCTACATTACATGTTCAGATTGCTTGCTGTGAAGACCTGTCTTCGTCCCAGTTATTGCTCTTTTGATGCTCACAGAAACTTGAATATTTATCCATATGCATTTGAAAACACAACTAGCCCCCAAATAACTTTTCCACTGTGCAAGAAAACAATGCTCTGAAATGTACTGAAAACTAAGTAGGAATCCTCTGCGAGAAAGTGTTAATAGTTAATGATGGCTCCTGAGAATTGGTAGTTTGGTCACGTGTGCTCCAAGTGTATCACAGCAATTAATTGATGCTTTTATCAAATGTCTGTAGTTGTAGCATTCAGTATTTTCATCCATTCATCTCTAAGGTCATGGTTATGTTAGAGTGCTTCTCTGGATCAATATCCTGACATGCTGGCACAGTTCTGTGCAGTGTTTGCAGTGTCCATTAGCAAGGGTGACCTTTGGCCAGCGCAACATACATCACACCCAGGTACACGGCATACACCCATGCTGTGTTTTAGCTATGGCAAAAAGAAGCTTCTAATGATATTTGACCAAAGAAGTCTAAGTACTTCTTTTATTGCTTGTAGCACTAAGAATGTATTAGTTTTATCTGCAGCCACTAACAATATTACTATGTTTTATTCTCCAGATATTCCTGTCCTTATTGTCAGTGTGAAGTAGATGAGGATGAGCTTATGGACCACTGTCTCACTTACCACAGATCAGAAAGGAGAGCAGTGGTAACGTACATAAGTATATATTTTACTGAATACACATTAAATTGATTAATTCTAGCAGCATTACTCATCAGTGTATAGTGTTCATTTTTATCTGAACTAATGCTTTAATGTGTAAGATTTTGCTAACTTTTGTATTTTTCAGATTAGACTCTGTGTGTACTTTGGTCAACCGAAATAATTGTGAATAATTCTTATAACACCTATCAGTCTATAAGCTCTCATTTTTTCACTCAGGGCAAATGCATACATAGCTGTATTGTGTAGCTGTAGGGCATAATTTAAGCCTTAATGCTTAGAAAATTATTAAATCCTTCGCTCAATTCAGAGTTGCATATACAGGCTGATCCTGAGAGGCGTTATGCAGCCTCTGTTGTGTGGTTCTCTGAAACCTAATGTAACAAACAATATTCAGAATGATTCTCGCCCACAAATAACGTGAAAATCATAAGCAAGGAAATGAAAATATGATCTTTTAAATCATACTGGTTTCATAACTACTTTAGTTGGTGTATGAACTATGACACCATATTGTTAATACAAAGCAAAGAGAGGGAACATGCTGAGAGGTGCACTTTGTCATTTGCTACTGACACACTGACTTCCCTTTAATTCTGAAATACCTTTGAAGTAACTGTTTCAGGATTTCAGTGAAAAAGTGGTTCAGCATAGCTATTTCAACCTTCTTATTTCAAACTTAAGCACATCAGACTTCTAGTTCTAAAAAGGCGTTGCATTTTTTGGTGTGTTTTGTCATCATGTTCATAACCAGAACATGTCATAAAGGTGTTTTTAGTATACAAATGGTATATTCATACAGTATATTCCCACATGGTATATTCCATGATAATCGCATTTTTAGTATACACAGAGTATTGTCACAACACTGAAGAAATACATGTTGCAACAACTGCAACTTTTATATTGCAGAGAGCCCTCAGGAAGTAATTCAGCTTTTCTTTTGAACAAGTGTTTTAGGCAGTTCTGTTGTAAGCACACAGGTGAATCAATTTGTTATTGATGACCAGAGAAATCCTGTATGTTTCTTAGCACTTTGTCATCCAAAAAATGTCTTGGATGATAAACAAATGGATTGTTTTTTATTTGTTTATTCAAATGATAAACAAATGGATACATGAATTGTTGGGATGATAAATTTTGTTTTGGGTAAAACAAATGCTTTTACATGACTGTTCTCTTGTAGCTAGCAGAAGGGAATTTATTAATAATCAGATCTACTAGGTTGACAGTCGTTGGGATGTCTGCAGACACAAATTACACAGCAAGGATTAGCATAATTGACAGCTGATCTGGAAGTGCACTGGGCCTAAGCAGTATTTGTCTTGCTCAGAGAATGCTGGTTGGCTATAACAGATCCACTTATTTAACATTTCTGTTCTTTTAAACATTGATAGTATTTCTTCTGTAAGACCTGCAAGATGAAAATTGAAGATTTCCTTCCATTTTCTTTGTAGTGTTGTCCAATTTGTTTTTTAACACCCGGGAGAGAACCAAGCTACTTCAGCAGAAGTTTTATAAGGCATCTTCAACTCAGACATGCACTCCATTATGAAGACTACATAGTGAGTAATGGTATTTGCAATCTACTGGACTTGATTTTTTTCTGTGTTTCTTCTTTCACACCTTTTACAATCAAGAATTCATGAAAAGAACTGGGCAGGTGACTGCACCATGAAGTCATGAAGTGTGGCAGGTATGTTCAGAAACAGCACAGTTAGTACTCAGAGGTGCCACCTTGTTCTCAGTTCTGTTGCTGTCTGATGGTGGGACAAGGGAATGGTACCCCCTTACCTCACTTCTTAACAGGTAGCATACATCTCAATTATGTTTATAAATTACTTGGAGACCCTCAAATGAAAACCTGCGTACTGTAAGTGACAGTTCAACAACGCATTTTATTCTGTAGAACCTAAGGTGAATCAGTTTTAGTTCTGCAAGGTGCTGCAGCTGTTAGCTGTCTGAGTGGGCTGTAAAATACAAAAAGAAGCACAAACATTAACCGGCTGTTAGAATTCCTCAAGAACATCAGTTAGTGCTTTCCTGTATTTATCTTTGGTACTCAGGCAGACAAAATCCCAAAGAGAGATACAAAACATTTTTTTAATGGGGCAAAAGCACTGAAGACAATGATGTGCAAATGGAGGGCAGGGGCAAAGAACCATCTTAATAGTCTGAACCTATAGTTCATGCACATGGTGGAAACAGACCTATGTATGATAGCACTTTAATGATAGCTCACTTATCATAACATACTTAATAAAGTATAGCTAAGACTTGAGAATTTATACACAGTAATATAACATGCATCACCAAATGGGAGTCTTTAATAAATAGCATTAGCATTGTTAGGTTTTGCATAATCACTGAATTTGACTGTTTCTGCATTCGTCAGTCTCATTTATTTCAAGTTTCATAATGATTCATCTTGCTTCAGGTATCCGGTATTCGGATACGTGGCAATTTTAATAAATAAAGGTGATCCCAAATGGTGAAATTAAGACACGAACAAGGTCAGATGTCGCGCACACAACAAACTTTTATTGCAATAACACAACAAAAGCCCCTAGAGCAGATAGGACAGGCAGGAAAACAGAGACAGGAAAGAGAGGAGAAAGCAGAGAGATACGAGGACAGAAAGCGAGAGCAGAGTTACCACCCACGGTCCAGCGATGTTCTCGATGTCGTTGTTGGGGAAGTAGTTCCAGGTGGAGAAGTGCTTGTTTGCACCCATAGAGTCCCGCATTTTTATACTGTCCTTGCCGACTGCACCCCCACTTCTCTCCCTGCATAGGGAAAAACCCTTTGGATCTTCTCTGTGATAGCAGGGGCAGGTATGATGCCAGGGGCTATGTAGTCTTTGTTTGGCTAATTGATGAGATCAGCCATTACAAAGGAGGAAATTGAGTCAACTGGCACCACCGGATTAGTTCCTTGCGGTGGAGTTTCTGTCCTAGGAAGTAGCTGGAGACTGGCACTCCTTGTCTTGTCCTGCAAAGTCGGTGGTTTCCATATCAAGGCCTAGTTATCACTGGATATCCTGCTCCTAGTGCCACCTGTAGAACTCCTTTGTCTCCAGTCTCAGCATGTCCCACACTAAACTCCCCAGTTCTCAGGTACTCCTTGCAGGAGGGGGTTGGGTGGGTTGCTGAGACATCTCTTTAGTTCATCAGCAGATGTCCTTCAACTCTCAGATGCCACAAGACAGACAACAGATATCCTGAGTGCCAAAGTCCAAGCTTATCTCTTGGATTGTTCTGAGACAAGCACTGTACATCCTTAATGCCACATACAGTAATTACTACCTTAATAGTCAATAAAATATCCTTTTATTATTTTTTTTTTCTTTCAGGACATAAACACTGTTGGAGAAGTTCTTGTTGAAAGAGTTCTGGATGGGTCATTCTTAGACTATGTGCATGTGAGTCATCCAAACAATACCTAAGGTATCCTGCAAAAGAATGGAAGAACATTCTCTGGATAAACACAGTAATTAAAATTTAGCCCTTTGCAATCAATGGAGTGTTAGTAACTTGTGGGGACCTAAAAAGGTTATGGGTTGTGTTTTTTTTTTCTTAAGCATTCTTTTGGTTTTAAATTCTTTAATTAAATTTTCTTCATTAAAAAGAATGCATTCTTTTTTCTTTTTGTATGGATAAAAGAAAATACATCTTGTTTCTCTACTTAAAGCACAATGGTCCTGAACTTGCTGCTAGTCCACTATACAATAACACTGGCTTTGATAGCAGCTCCTCCTATTTGTTTGCAACTCTGTTTCAGGAGCAGGCCAGTCTTTTATACATTGATGATGACAACACAATGCTGGAGATAGATTACAACGGCTTTTCAGATGATACAGGATCAAATAAATTTGAACAAACCCCACCTCCATACAATACCAGGCATACTGTTGTCAATGCCTGTGTTACTGACCCCGTAAGAGTGCATGTGAGTTTCCATTTGCAGTGCAAGATGAGACTCAAAATTAGCAAAGTAAGTGAAAACCACCTTGAAAGGATAACAAGAAGTTAATATTATGTTTGTAATAAAAAATAGAAACCTGTTCAAGAGATTGACAGCATCTCTTAACTAACCTGTATTCTTACTATGTAAGTTTTTAAAAGTACATAGTTTCTTAAGGTACAGTATAACATGGAATCTTTCAAAGATTCAGCTGATGTGTAAGAAATTAAAATTCATGTTCATGCATAAAAGGATGTATGGTGATCAAAGTAGCTTTAATCCCATGGTAACATGTTAACAAGGAAAGTAGTGATAGACTTTTGGTCTTGTCTATTTTTTCTTGGAATCTGAAAGCGGCTCCTTTTTGGGAAGAGGAAGATGCAGTGTTTAATGTGCCTGGAAAAGTTGCTTTCCTTTCTCTTTGAGAACTGTCCTTGGGAATGAAAACTCCTCAGTTAGAAAGATGGACAGTGTTGCTTCGAAGGGTGGAATTTGTGGAAACATTTGAGTAATTAAAAAAAAATTATCTCATCTGCCAGATCAAAGTAGCCAAAAATGTAGGGAAGAAGTTACTGGATTTATGGCTTCCTGCACATCTAACAAACGTATAGAGCACTTTATATACGTATGAAATGAGCTACTACTATGGGATTGGGGAGTGTTGTCCTTAGTTTTGTCTGTGGCTGCAAGTGTTCCTTGTCAGTAGTGATATAGATACACCTGGCAGGAGTGAAGGATGCCCTTCCCCTTGCACGTGGAACTTTCTGATCCCCCTGCAGTGACACAGCTTTCTTTCCCTTTCTGCTCACATCCATCTTTCAGTACTCCCACAGAACAAATCCCTGCCCTTTTCATATTGGCAAGGAGATGAGCTGTTCTTGCAGAAGCACTGTCAAAAAAGCAACCAAAATAATATTTGTACAAAAAGTAGTTCTACAAAGTACAACAGCTGTGCAAAGGTGATACAAAATGTACCTCTTCACTGGCAGTTGCCCCTTGCAAAGTGCAAAATTTTATGAGCAGTTCTACAAGTTTTCACAGTTCAGATTGCATTTCACAAATGCATTTTTCACAAGGAATAAAATGTTGGCAGGGCCATTGGTTTCATATCATCTAAAACATCTGATTTAAAATGCTTTCCGTCATATAAATGTGTTTGATAAAATTCAGCTGCCTGATTTCTCTTTACATGTTGTCTATGTCAATGGCAAAAACTACCTAGGATTTACAAGGCTGGTGCCATGCTATATATTGCTCTGTGGTGGACCAGTTGTCAACTCCAAGGTCACAGCTTTATTAAAGGCTCAAGATTTACAATAACGTTAGCAAAAGCATGAATGTCTTCACACACACCTTCCTGTAGTTTACTTCTCAGGTCATCTGCACAATTTCTCCCCCTGCCAAAAGGTGCTAATCAATAAATACTGCAGTCTGCTGAACAAAGTTCAAATGGACCTATCATGTTCCTTTAGTAATAAATCTTTGCTTTTGTTTAACACCTGCCTTCTAAGGCCATAACCCTCCTTATCTGCAGTAATTAATTTAACTTCACAGCAGCCTTATTTGGTGATTAAAAACTGCTCCCCTTTTACAGATTGAGAAATTGAGGCATAAGGACATGCCTTGCTGAAGTCATACAGGAAGACTGAAAAGACTTGGAAGCCCATTTCTGCCAGCCTTTCACATGCTGAGGTTGAAGGCCATGCTACCTCTCTCCCAATGAGTAATGGAAGGTGCTTGGGCAGCATCTGAGCTGAGGCTTCTGTAATTCTTCCTTTTAATGTACTGTCATGGCATGATTAGGGCAGACCTGAAGCTGGCTATACAGCTGTGGTATAGTCCTAATGCAAGAAGCATTCTGCAGGGTATTTACCACTTAAGGTGTCTTCTGTGTCTTCTTCTGGCAGTACTTGCACAGCTGAAGAGGTTACTGCCACCAACTGCTGCTTGTTACCCATTGTGTCTACTCAGATTTACCGGTCTGGCTTCCTACTTCATTTCAGGGAAGATAATTGGTTACTCTCTTTAAATAGTAGGGTTTTTTTGCCAGCTGATGGACAGTTCAGCTAACCCTTAGGCAGCCTCTAACAGAGCAATGATGAGTACAGAGGAACAGTAACCTGAGCTAGCACAGCCACAGTTAGAAGAGGATGTATTACTGCAACGCCTCAAATCCCAGGCCTATCCTCTCCCGGGAAATCTTTACCCAGGGAGTGGGCCTTTCCCACCAGATTTTCACCTGACCTGAAGCCTAAGCAGTAAATATCCCATCCCAGACAACTTAACTCTTACACTGGGCCCATCACTTCAGATCTGCTTCTGCTGGGATAGATTTCATTCTCTTCACAGTAGCGTGTGTGGAGCTATGATTTCACTTTGTGCTGGAAACAGTGTTGATAATTCAGAGACGTCTTCAGTACTGCTGAGCAGAGCGCACACAGCATCAAGGCCTTTTCTGCTTCTCAGCCCACCAGTGAGCAGGCTGGGGTGCACAAGTGGTTGGGAGGGGACACAGCTGGGACAGCTGACCCCAACTGACCAAAGGGATATTCCATGCCATCTGATGTCATGCTCAGCAATAAAACAAGGAGGAAGGGGGGATATTCGGAGTGACAGTGTTTGTCTTCCCCAGTCACTGTTAGGCACAATGGAGCCCTGCTCCCCTGGAGATGGCTGAACACCTGCCTGACCATGGGAAGTGGTGAATGAATTCCTTGGTTTCCTTTGCTTGCATGCATGGCTTTTGTTTTACATATTAAACTGTCTTTATCTCAACCCACGAGTTTTCTCACCTTCATCCTTTCGATTCTCTCTCTCCCCAGTCCCACCGTGAGCAAGTGGCTGTGTGGGGCTTAGCTGCCATCTGGGGTTAAACCACAGCAGATCTCCTGGTACTTAGAGGCATTCAACGTTTGCCTTCATGTGGTCTAAAAAAGAAGGTATTTAGGGCAGTCATTGGCTTTCGCTCTGCTGTTCCCACTTGTTCGTAGGAAGATACTGTTATTTTCAGCTAATCATGACAGATCCTGAATAAGAAAACCGCGCCAGCATCCTTCACAGAATCACAAAACGGTTCACCCCTCATCCGCAGAGAGAGACCTGAGCTTCAGCTTCATTCCCAACCACGACACCCATTTCCCCTGGGCCTGGGGCAGGAGCCGGGCCGGGGGCACAGGCTGCCGGGGGG